TGTCGTACACCTATCTTTTTTTCCCTTCCTTTTCCCAGTCAAATACACTTCAGCCAGAAGTGTTTGGAGTCCATTCTTGAGCATATTTTACCAAGGTGTCCATTTTAGTCACTGTACCATAACTCCATGTGACAACTTACACAAGTAACTTCTGAACTTGTTTGTAATACGTCTTGCATTTGCAGATGAACACCAGGCTAGTCAACTAGTCAACTTTGTTCCTCCATATAATTTCTGATAGAGTAAATTGAGTTATAAGTTTCCAGGTTCAAGGACTTGAGCAGAAAAATCATGGCTGGTACTCCAGTGAAGAATTTTTCTCTTTTGTATGGCTTTAAGATTAGAAGCTCTTGTCACAGTTTATTGTCAAGTTCCGTAACTACTCCATTGACTTATTGGAGATCAAATTTAACTTCAAGTTGTCTCACTCATGCTTGAGTCAGGAACAAGATGTTGTTCTGTGCTTGATGGTTGGTAAGGGTTTCTGCAATCACAGTCGGGTGACATTGTAAGGTAAAGCAGAATATTGAGGTGGTCAGGTAGACCATTGGAATTGAGAAGGAGGTTGGCAGGCAGGATGGCTCAGCAGTGAGGGGGTAGCCATTTCATTAATGCTAAATTAATAAGACACAACAGAAGCTGCAACAATATGGAAGATCCAAAGGAAAATTTGTTTTTTAATATATCTTTTGGTTTTAAGAATTAAGGCTGGGGCTATAGAAAATGGGGTAAATCCAATTAAGACAAGCTTGGAATCTATTATGTTAAATGTTTGGAGCCAAATTGATTCCGGAGGTTAACAGTTGGGAAGGTAAAATCATAAACCAGCAGGTGAAGAAAATCAACGTATAACTACCCGTAGGTTTTTTGGTGGAGACGTGATACCTGCAATCCTTTCCAGCAAGGGCAGTCCAGAGAAATGTTTCTGTTTTGATTACTTTGTTTCATAAATTTGTTTAAAAGCATCTAATGAAACTTGAAAGTTTGTAAAATCAATTACTTTCTTTAAATCCAGAAGAAATTTTAAGCAAGGGACACTTAACCTAATTATCTGTTCAAGGACATCACAGCATTTTCTACAACACATCAGAAAAGATAGAGGATCTTGGGGAGATAATCTAACTTCAGTTTATGTGGATGTTTTCTGACATAGTCAGTTGTAGCTTGGAAATGGTGTGGTTTGAAGCTTGCTGAGAGAAGACAACTGAAGTAAAGGGTCTGGGCCCGAAATGTCAGCCTTCCTGCTCCTCTGATGCTGCTTGGCCTGCTGTGTTCATCCAGCTCTACACCTTGTTATCTCTGAAGTAAATAGCAGTTAGGTAGGTCTGCAGTGTAAGCTTAGAAAAAGCAAACATTGTCATTCATGATGTAGAAAACAGGTGAGGTTTAATTTTAGTTTGAAACTTGTGAGGAAATTAATGTTGGGAGCTTGCCTAGTTTGAAACAAGTGGAAAGATCTGTTGTCATCTTATTGTGATGAAAGAGAGCAACCAGCAGAATTACCTGAGAATTACTGAGAAGTCAACCAGATCAAAGGACTGAAATATCCACTCAAGAGATAGTCAACTAAGTCTTACCTCTGAGAATAGTTAGAATTCTGGGAAGAATTAAAGTAAAGATCCAAAGGATGATGGCAGACTTCTGGGTGGTGCTGACATGAGTAACTAACTCTAACAATCATATAGTGTTATATCGTACTTGTGGTAGAATTAAGAACAAGAACAAAGTGCATAGTAAGTACAGTGAGTGTCATATTGTTATGTTAATAATGATGTCTTATTTAAATCATTCATTTACAGTAAAGTTTCTTTTACTTTAAAAAGCCAATATCTTGTGATGTAGTTCTATTGGTTTAAACAGGGCCTTTGGATTTCTCTGTGAATGTTAATAGTTCTTAAATGTATTGTCACAAATTGAATAGGTGTCTGTTCCTAATTTTCACTTTTTAGGTAAACAGCAAACTTGGGAAAAACACTCCAATTTATCTTTTTCATACATAATATATATAAACAAAGCACACGTCGATACGAATGAATGACTGTTGGCTTTCATTGCAGCATAAATTTGCTTCACACTTCATACATGTGTAATCAAGGTTGTTATTTAAGTCTCAACTTTTAGAGCCCATCTTTCTTTTTGTGAATCAGTTTTTGCCAGCTTTCTAAATTTGTATTTAAGTCATACAGTCATACAGCACGGAAACAAACCTTTTGGGCCAACCAGTCCATGCCGAACATAATCCCACACTAAACTGGTCCCACCTGCCTGCACCTGGCCCATATCCCGCCAAACCTTTCCTATTCATGTACTTATCCAAATGTCTTTTGAACATTGTAATTGTAACCGCATCCACCACTTCCTCAGGAAGGTCATTCCACATGCGAACCACCCTCTGTGTAAAAAATTTGCCTTTTATTTCTTTTTAAAATCTCTCTTCTCTCACCGTAAAAATGTGCCCCCTAGTCCTGAAATCATTCATCCTGGGAAAAAGACAAATACCATTAACTCTACCTATACCTCTCATTATTTTATCAACTTCTATTAGGTCACCTCTCAACCTCCTACACTCCAGTGAAAAAAGTCCCGACATATCCGACCTTTTTTTATAACTCAAACCTTCCATACCCAGCAACATCCTGGTAAATCTCTTCTGAACGCTCAGCTGGATAATATACTTCCTATAACTGGGTGACCAGAACTGGACAAAGTATTCCAGAAGAGTCCTCACCAATGTCCTTTATAACCTCAACATGACTTCCCAAATCCTATACTCGAAGGACTCAGCAATGAAGGCAAACGTGCTAAACACCTTTTTAACCACCCTATCTGTATGTGACACAAATTTCAAACGATTATGTACCTACACCCCTAGGTCCCTCTGTTCTACAACACTACCTACGGTCCTACCAATAATAGTATAAGCCCTACCCTTGTTTGCGTACCAAAATGCAATATCTCACATTTATCCAGATTGACCTCCATCTGCCATTTTTCAGCCCATTGACACATTTGATCATGATTCATCTGTAATCTTAGAAAACCTTCTTCACTATCTACTATGCCACCAATTTTGATGTCACCTGCAAACTTACTAATCATGCCTTCTATATTCTCATCCAAATCATTTATATAAGTGACAAACAAAAGAGGACCCAGAACCAATCCCTGTGAAACACAGCTGGTCACAGGCCTCCAGTCTGAAAGGCAACCCTCCACCATTACTCTCTGTATCCTGCCATTAAGCCTATTTTGTAGCCAATTGGCAAGCTCACCCTGAATCCTGTGTGACCTAACTTTACTAATTAGTCTACCATGCAGAACCTTGTCAAAGGCTTTACTAAACAATGTCTACTGCTCTGCCATCATCAATCTTTTTGGTAACTTCCTCAAAAAACTCAATCAAGTTTGTGAGACATGAGTTTCCTCACACAAAACCATGCTGACTATCCCGAATCAATTTTTGCCTCTCTAAATGTCTATAAATCCTACCTTTATAATCACCTCCAACAATTTACCCACAACCAAAGTGAGGCTCACAGTTCTATAGTTCCCTGGTTTCTCCTTACAACCTTTCTCATATAACATTTGTTTATAATTCAATTCATCCACTGTGCAAAATTTTCCAAGTTCCCAGCACCACATTGGATGAGTTAAATACCTATGTCTGTCAGCATGAGTCCAGAACAAAAACAATTGTACTGAGAGTATACATTTACCCCAAACTGTTAATGTTAAGATCTATTCCAATATTTCTAAACAGTTATATCAGCATGCTTTACGTGATTTAGAAATTTACGTGATTTGTCTCTCATTTAATCACTCATGATTTTTGCTGCCAATAATTTATTGAGCAGAATTGTTGGCTTCTTCATTGATAAGTATCATTTGAAAAGTGTAAATGCAATACTGTCCTTTTTATGAAAATTTGTAATTTTACAGTTAATAGTCTTTGCGAGGAGATGTTGCAGTGCATTGGGTAGCACTCCTGCCTCTGACCCAGAAACTCATGGCCTTGCTGGTCAAGGAAGATGTATTTATAATCACAGCCAAACTAGTTCATGTTGAATTATAAATGTTTCAAGCATGTGCCAATGTCAGGTGATATTAGCAGGGAAGATTCTTGGTTGGTACTGTAATGGAAAGAAAATTGGAGCTTTGACCATCACAATGCATAATGTTGGACTACAATGTTCTTATAAAAGTACATGTTGCCAGAGCAACTCAGACGCATTACTGGGTCAGTTGGCTGGACACCAATGAAAATTAGGCTGGTGCCAACAGCATGAATTCAATTTGATTTGGGACCTGCCTCCTAAGCCTACCCACGGTAAAGGGACAGAGAACTGAAGACAACTTGGAAGGGATACAGTAAATAGTTTCTGATCAACCTGTTCAGAAATGGTATTACACACCTCTGAAGCAGGTGTAACTTCAACCTGGGCCTCCTGGTTCAGAAGTAGGAACACTCCCACTGCACCATAAGGACGCTTCTACTGCACCTGGTATTCCCAGCCGGGTCTCCCATCCGAGTACCAACCGGGACAACAAGGTGCAGGGCTGGATGAACACAGCAGGCCAAGCAGCATCATAGGAGCAGAGAGGCTGCTCCAACCGGGCCTGATTCTGCTTGCAAGGGATATGGTACCATTACGTTTCCGAGAAACCTAGAACGTTCATGTTACCGACACTAAACCTTTAGTTGAATATATTAGTTACAGAAAATTTTTAGAAAGACGATCTGATTTTCTTTTTATGGGGAAGAGGGGAGATAGTCACCCCTGGAGACACACTCCAGAAAGCGAGAGAGAGGTCAATACAATGACACGTCTCGCTAGCATCTCAGGCAGGTCAGTCACTTTCCGCCAACGTGTCAGTAGCAGTTGGCCCGCATTCATACACAGCTCTCCGCTCATTGGCTGAACGTGACACCACCCCTCGCGTTCCTTTCACGTCATGCCGTTACGTGCCAGTGCGTCAGGACGCTGATATAAAGGGCGAGGCGGGCAGTCTGACGCTGACTCTGGTGAATGCAGAGGTAAAATGAGTCGTTTTGGTTCGTCGCTATTTACTGGGATTATTTATTACTTTTTATTGCCGTTTGGTGATTCACATCTGATTCCTGAAAGACGCTACAGTAAAAAGTGTTCTTCAATCGGCTGATCGGTAACAATAACAAGGCGATATTTAATAAACTGCAGCGTGTCAATCCCGGAGAGAGGGAGTCGGGAAAATGCCGAAATCCAAGAAGCGGAACAACAAGGGAGGTAAGGACTGGCAGGGTAGGGGTGCTGAGCATGCGCGCCGGCGCATTGCGCTCTGGGAGTTGTAGTTCGCTCAGTGTGAGATCAGCGGCCACGCGCGAGAGGGCGGATGTTGAAGGGACTACATCCCCCAGCGGGCAGTGCGGCCAGGCCCACCAGCGGCCGGCACTAGCCGGGCTGTGACCGCGGGCGGTGTTTGCTTTACAGTAAGGCCACGTGTGGCCAATTCTATGTTCCCTGCCAGATCCTGATGGGGATTTGTAATTGGTAGTGTTCGGATGCGGACAGGAGCCGGGCTGTGTTTTTTAAATAAAAGATAACCAGGTGTGGAGCTGGATGAACACATCAGGCCAAGCAGCATCAGAGGAGCCGGAAAGCTTTATGTGTTTCTTAATCCGGCTGGCGGTGATGGAGAAACAACTAGAGCCGGTCTGTTGGCGCGGACATTGTCAGGAAATTGTGGGCTGGCTTGCTGTTCCTCATTCTGTTTCGGCAACATCTCCTCACCCGCCCCATCGACTTCACACACCTTGCACTTCTTGTTCAACAAGTGGCTTAAAACGCTGGCGGCTGTTACTTGTGACTGTGTCTGCAGTGGGATTGTCTCAAATAAGTCCAATTCCTCATCCACCTCTACTTTAAAAGTTCGCTATTACAGTGCTATCTTCTCTTTGAACATGTTCAACCCCCGATTGAAAGTGGTGAGGTAGAGAAAACTCAATTCATTTAGGGGCTTTCACGACCAAGAGCGTCCCACGGTTCTTTTCTATGAACTAAAATTTGTGCACGTAAAGTCCCACAAACCGCATTAAATCGTGGTCTTGACTTAAGAATTTGATAGTGGCTAGGAGATGTGATCTTCCCTCTTCATAGTACAATGGAATCTTGCAATCATTTTGATGGAGAAGCATAGTTTGGTATCCTGAAAAGTGGCACCTCTGCAACACTCTATGCATTGGCTGTATAGATTTTGTGCATAGCATAAAGAATATTATAGCATAGGAACAGGCCCTTCAAACCCATCGCACCTCTCCTGACAAATTATGCCTGTGTGGTTTGTATCCCTCTTCCCTGTGCACATGTATAGTGTGCGTGACTTGAATGCCCAACCTTTGATCAGAGGTGAAGTTGCTCCCACTGAGTCACTGCTAGCAAAAGGTATGCAAGTTCCTGTAACAGTGGTGATGTGTGTCCTGGTCCAAAGCTTGCAAATGCAGGACTATGCTGTATGTTATCTAGATGACTAATAAAAATTTCCTACCTCATCCATATTGGCAAACAATCAATATCTCAGTATTTGAATTGTAAACAACATCAGAATGCTGATCAAGAAATTTAAACTTGAAGATAGCAAGAACTCACAAGAAACATCAAAGTTGACATTTTGGGTTTACACCCTTTATCAGGACCAGCCCTGATGAAGGGTGTAAACCCGAAATGTCAACTTTCCTGCGCCTCTGAATTCAAACCTGAACTTGTCCAAACTGTCAGTTCCATCATGCATATCCAGTTCTGAGGTAATCACTTTGAGATTTGCAGAGAAAAATTAGAATACTGGTCCTTCCCATGTTTGTGGGAGCACATAGGATTTTAGCTTCAGAAGGAGAACTTGACATTCACAGAAGTAAATGGAGAACAACTTCTATCTGCACTGACAGTGGGGTAAGGGATCAAAGATTTGTGTTTTTCGGAAAAGCATGAGACTTTCCATAAGTTATTTCAATAATTCAATTTAATTATTCATCATTTTTTCTCCAAACATCTGACATTTTTGCTTCATTTCTGGGTACTTCAATTGTATCTTTCCCCAAGTGGTTATCCTGCAGGCTTTCAAATGTACACTGTCAAGTTGAACCTAATGATTTAATCTGATTGGTTTCTTCCTATTCCAAACTATACATGTGCGATGTAGTGTGTACACCACATGGACACGATTGAATAGTTAGGGATGAAGTTGTAAAAAAGATTCTTTGACTTGATGGGTATTGATTTTGCAGGTTGTTTCTCAATTATGTTGAACTATGTAGCCAAAATAGTGCGAATTGCAAATGAGGAAATTGTGACTGGCTATCGTGCTTCAGTCAGGCTGTGCTGTCACTTGTGTTCTAGTTGCTAAATGAATGAAGCTATCATTGCTGCCAAAAGGCACAAGTAGTGAGGAAAAAATAGGAGAAACATGGGTGTTGTAATCCTTTAAGGAGGCATCTTGGTCAATGATTCATACAGTTGTATGTAATAGCTGAGTGAATGGTGAATGCTAGCTAAACATCACTCTTTAAACTGATCACCAGGATTAGTACAAGTGACGCAAGTCAAGCATTGATATCATAACAATCTTGTATCAGAGGTGAGATACCTGACAATTGCAACAATTTGTTTCAACAAAAATTGGACACACACTCAATAATTGACAATAAGAACATGATGCAACAGCACATGTACATCTTTGTTTTGGTTGACCATTCTCGTCTGTATGAGAATATTTGAGCTGTTTTGTCCAGATTGTTAGACTAGGTCACTGCCATTAGTGAGGTGCCATAAGAGTGAGTTTGATGGATGGAGTCCCAAATATAATGGGGTGGTAGTGGAGGTAGTCTTACCACAATAGTCATTTGTTTTCCTTTCTCCTTTGTTCATTTTTAAGAGGTCGCTGTCTGGGACGTCACTCAATAACTTTGTAGACACTACATGTATGCAGGAAGAGCTCCTTCTAGCCTTGTGATGCATAGTCACAGCCTCGAAATTAATGACTGTAAATTCTTTGGGGACACATGACCAAATTCCTGTTGCATTCTCAATGTACAAGCTCTGTGATAGGAATGTTGATAATGAAAAATTATCTATGGTATAAGCATGTTATCCTTGTATTTTTTCCCTGAGTGCTCACATACATATGGACTTGGGCAGATACAATCCAAACCTTTCCTTTCCTTCAGGTAGTGGTTCTAGCAAATCTTCTCTGAAGGAGATAGAAGGTGGTGGAGGAGGGTTATTTTTCAGATTGGAGGCCTATGACCAGTGGTGTGCCACAAGGATCAGTGCTGGGTCTACTACACTTTTTTTTGTCATTTATGTAAAGTGATTTGGATGTGAATATAGGAAAAATGGTTGTAAGTTTGCAGATCAAACCAAAATTGGTGGGTAGTGGGTAGTGGGCAGTGAAGATTACCTCAGTACAACGGAACCTCGATCAGACAGGCCAAGGAGTGGTAGATGGCACTTAAATTAGATAAATGTGAGGTGATGCATTTTAAGACAAATCAGGGCACACCATAGTAAGGTCCTGGGGAATCCATGCAGTGTGGAAGCAGGCCATTCAACCATTGAGTCCACACTGATACTCTGAAGAGCGTCCCACTCAGACCCACCCCCTACCCTATTTCTGTATTTCCCACCCTAGAAACTATGGGCAATTTAGCATTGCCAATCCACCTAAACTGAACATCTTTGGACTGTGGGAGGAAACCAGAGTACCCAGAGGAAACCCATGCAAACACAGGGAGCGTGCACAAACTCCACACAGACACAGTTGCCTGAGGGTGGAATTGAACCCAGGTACCTGGTGCTGTGAGGCAACAGTGCCACTGTGCTGCCCTGTATTCTTTCTGAAGAGAGACTTTGGGGTGTAGGTTCATAATTCCTTAAGTGGAGTCCCAAGTAGACAGGATAGTGAAGAAGGCATTTGGTACACTCCTTTGGTAGTCAGTACATTAAGTATAGGAGTTGGGAGGTGATGTTGTGGCTGTTCAGGACATTAGTTAGGCCACTTTTGGAATAAGACGTTGAGTTCTGGTCTCTGTGCTACAGGAAAGATGTTGTGCAACTTGAAAGGGTTCAGAAAAGATTTGTAAGAATATTACTGGGTTGGAGGGTTTGAGCTGTAAGGAGAAGCTGAAGAGGCTGGGGCTTCTCCCTGAAGTGTCGGCTGAGGGGTGACCTCCCAGAGGCTTTTAAAATCATGAGGGGCATGGATAGGGTGAATAGCCAGGATTGTTTTTCCCCAGGGTAGGGGATTCAAAAACTAGAGGACATAGCTTTTGAGGTGAGAGGAGAAAGATAAAAGGAACCTAAGGGGCAATGTTTTCATACAGAGGGTGGTGCATGTATGGAATGAGCTGCCATAGTAAATGGTGGAGGCTGGTACAATTACAACATTTAAAAGACATCTGGGATGGTTATGTGAATAGGAAGGGATTAGAGGGATATGGGTCAAATACTGGCATATGGGGCTAGACTAATTTCATCTCAAGTTCACTTGGACCATCTCTGATACCTCTGTCTCCATCTCCGGTGACCGCCTCAACCGATATCTATTTCAAGCCCACCGATTTCCACAGCTAACTAGCGCCCCCCCCGCCAACCCCAGATTCAGTGGTCGAAAATGCTTTCGACTGCATCTCTTGCATTTCCTGCACCCCTGCCCTCACATCCCCTGCCCGCAACAAAAATAAAGACAGAATTTCCCTTGTCCTCACATCACCCCACTGACCTCCATATTCAACGTATCATTCTCCGCCACCTGCAGGCCGACCCCATAAACAAAGATATTTCCCTCCCCACCCCCTATCTGCCTTCTGTAGGGACTGCACTCTCCACGACTCCCTCGTCCGCTCCACACTCCCCGCTAGACCAACCGCGGGAAGTGCTGCGCCTGCCCTTACACCTCCAACCCCCTCCACCTCCTCCATCCAAGGAACCAAACAAACGTTTCACGTTTGACAGAAGTTCACCTGCACATCCATCAATGTGGTCTATTGCACCACTGCTCCTAATGTGGCCTCGTTTACATCGGTGAGACCAAGCGCAGGCTTGGAGACCACTTTATAGAGCACCTGCGCTCTGTTCGTGACAAACAGCAAGCCCCTCCAGTCGTGAACCACTTCAACTCCCCCTCCCACTCCCTGGATGACGTGTCCATCCTGGGCCGCCTCCAGTGTCACAATGACGCCACCTGGAAACTGGAGGAGCAGCACCTCACATTCCACCTTGGGCGCCTACAACCC